AAAATTGTTTGTTTTTTGCTCTACCATTATGGCGTATGGAGTGCAGATTGATGTGGAAAAGTAATTTAAAGCAGTTTAACATAAGGCAGCAACATAAAACGCCGTATACTCCTGTCAGTTCTTGCTGCAGCTGCTTTTGCCAATCCTAATTTAGTACTTAGTTGGGGATTCGACAAACCTTTAAGCCTGTAAAGCTGGACATATAAAGTAATGGTCAGAAAAATGTTGTTTTTTAGAAATGGAACGGTAATTGAACATTTAGACAGAAAAAAGTTTGCATATGTGTTTTTTCTTGGGTATCTTGTTTGATACATCAGGCTTTTAAGGCTCATATAATATGATATTATTATACGGTTCAGTTTTATTCAGATGCCCAAACTGAGCAAAAATATGCCATTTGGTGCAGTTGCTAATATTTATGACTAAAAAAAACTGATGAAATTCTGTTAGTTTGTAATGTAAATCAAATGAGATCTTTATAATAGTATAACAGACTATTTGCATAAAATCGTATAAATATCGGTTGTCACTTTGTCTATAAGATATTTAAATGCTTAGTTTTATGATCAACGCTCTGTATTTTGCTCTATATTTGATACTCACATCTTAACGTGTTTTTCTAAAAAGAATTATTTTGATAAATAAGTTGCTTCAGTCCAGTAAGTGTTCATCTTGAAATATTTATAGTTATTCTTGCTTTCAGTTTTAAAGTTTAAATCTGTAAAGATTTCACAGCCTAAAATACACGTGAACCACGACCTGAAGTTGGATGTTTTTAAAATTATACTAGAAGGCCTTTTACATGCTAAAAAAAAAAAAGTAAAAATGATCAATCAGACAAAAGAAGGCATGTAGTAGATTGTGTTCAATAGGTTCTGATCATGTTTATTTAGAGGCCTTAGAAATTAGTGTATTAGATATGAAACATTAGGGTTAATATGAGCACTAGTTATTGGTATTATATTTTCACTTTCCTTTTCAACATTCACATGAGTGGTTTCTGTAACCCGATTGAATAACTTGTTTGATCGGAGCAGGATGGTGTGGAGAAGCATCTCTTGAGGGAAGCATTTAAAGGTTTGAAACTCATCCCAGATGAGATACTCTGGAGGAGGAAGGAGGCCTTCAGTGACGGGATGACATCCATGAAGAAATCCTGGTACACCAGCCTGCAGGAGCACATCGAGTCTGAGGTAATGCATATGACACAGTGATTTTTAAAGACTCTTCCCTGTCGTCTCGTCCTTTAATTTTTCTTTTCTCCTTCAGGTGAATGACTCTCAGTTTGAGAAGGCCAGTAAGCAGTTCCCTTCCAATCCTCCCACAACCAAAGAGGGCTTCTTTATAAGACAGATCTTTGAGAAGCATTACCCCGGCTGCTGCGAGTGGACGCTACATTACTGGATGCCCCGCTGGATCAAGGCCACGGACCCCTCGGCCAGAACCCTGTCCATCTACAAACCCGATAAAGACCAGTAATCACATCAAGCGTCAGACCTTACCTAGACCACACATACCTGCCGGTTCATTCGTTATTGCCATAATATATTTTTTGCCTCGCCTTTCTCTGTTCAATTTACTAAACTATCTTTTAGGTTGGGTGTTTTAGTGTTTCCTAAAGAGGATTGAGTTTATTTTAGGTCAGTTTTTTTTAACGGTTGGAGTGATACTGTATCTTGCGCTCATGCAATAGATTTCAAAAGATAGAAATGGAGGCCTTATCTGCTCTTCAGGCCTTTAAGCTGCCTTGCTTACTCCATTACACGTTTTCTTTTTCTTTTTATGGAGCTTAAACGTAGCTGTAAACAAACCAAAACAGAAGTGGGTTAGCGTAGCTTGCTGGTTATAAGAATCCCTTTAAATAAATTGCACAGTAACTTGTTTCTTGTAAAGAATGTTTACCACAGTAAAAATATGATATCTTAATATTAATTAAGTTCGTCAAAGGCACAGAAAGCTTCTTACACGGTTTGAAGGAGGTTCCATTTTCAGTTATCATTTTACATTAGTAACAAATAATATATACACTGCCATTCAAAGGGTGTGTGTGTGTGTGTGTGTGTGTGTGTGTGTGTGTGTGTGTGTGTGAGAGAGAAGAACTCGTCTCTAAATCTCGCCAAGGCTGCACTTATTTGATCAAAAATACAGTAAACACTAATATTGTGAAATGTTACCGTTTAAAATGACTGTTTACTATTTGAATATATTTTAAAATATAATTTATTCCTATTAATCAAAGCTGAATTTTCAGCATCATTACTCCAGTCTTCAGTGTCACATGATCCTTCAGAAATCATTCTAATATACTGATTTGCTGCCGAAGAAACATTTCTTATCATTATCAATGTTAATAACAGTTGTGCTGCTTCATATTTTTGGATTCTTTATTGAGTGGAAAGTTCAAAAGAACAGCATATATTTGAAATGTAAAAAGTAACAATGTTAAACTCATTACTGTATTTATTTAAAAAAACAATTCTGAATGGTAGTGTATAATGTAGTCCATAAACTATTAACACTGTGTTCTTGAACTATGCACTTATCCCAGGCTCCTTCAGTGAGACTCCCACCTTAATGGCTGTGTTTGTGTCTATAGTCAGCTAATTGATAGCAATTGGTTGCCTAGTTAAAATGCTTTTAAGCAATTATATTTATTCCCAAAAAACAGTCTCAGAGTTGAATGAATGGCTCTGGTTAAAGTATGATTCACCGTTTAGCCTTAAATGGTGGGTTAGTTTTAAGATATGAAACTAAAATTGAGGGTTATAAAATGTATTTGTTTTTATTATTTTTTACACTTTATGTTTGTATTTTGTTTGGTGCACCATCACTTTAAACTGGCTTTAAAAAATGTACTATGAATTACAGTTATGAACCGTGCATGTAGTTTGAATGTTTAAAGAAACCGTAACTTCCTATACCAAAACAATTCAAGATATTTTCAGTTAAATTGGAGATTTTAATGCTGACGCTATCGCATTAAACAATCTGGTCATGGTATTGATAAAGCCTTTCATCAAAACAGCAGTCATGATGTGTGTTTTTATGCTTTATGCCTTCTTCGAAAGCATACTTTTTGCTGTTGAAATACTCCTAATGGCCTGTAGGTGGACTGAGTGAGTCACTGTGAGAGTGCCATACACCACTCATTCAACGATACAAGGAATTAAAAGTTCCACCAGTAAAGAAAATATTTTTAATATCAAGCTACAATCACACAGATATATCAAGGTAGCAAAACCTTTGATCGTAGCAGTGACAGGACATGACATCACACCCGGCAGGCGCTATTATACAACATCTTCAGTCATGGTGAAAACACTATGAGGCACTATATATTGACACTGTCAGCACAAATCTCTGAGGACCTTAGAAAGGACACCGCTTTGCTTTAATGCTCCACGACACCGGGAGAGATGTGACAGAAACACGTTTGATCACAGCTGGACCGTATTGAAACGTCTGATCCTTTTTAAATGACGTAAATGAACTGCCACAGGTGCGAGTCGGCCATATTACCACAACGTGAAATCATTTTTATTTCCAACCGGAATAAAAAATAAAAAATCAACGACTATCAGAGAATGAAATGATCCTTTAGGAAGCGGATGTGACGACGATTCATTTTATCTGTTAACGCCTTTTGTCGTAGATCTGTACTGTTCCCCATTCATACGATTCTGTGAAGAGAGAAGGTCAAGATTAAAAAACAGATCATCATAACACAATTTTAAATCACTACTAGTTTTATTATTATTAATATTATTGATTAAGCAGCTATCCTAAACCCTAATATAGAGCTTTTGCAGTTCCTACCTGGCTCCTCTTGGCTTCTTTTACCCATCAGCCCCACAAAAGAATTGATTTTATGCCCTAGAAGACAATAAAGGGAAAATATTATATAGAGAGAGTATAAAATACTGTATATAGAGGGAGAGATGGATAGACATAGATATATAGATGCGATACTGTTGAAGTCTAGAGTGAGGTTGAATTGGTTTTATTTCTTTACAATTGTTTTATTCTACTGTGAAAATGTAGACCTTGAGGTTGTGAGTTTTGCATTAAGAGGAATCGTGTCTCTAAAACTCTTAAGAGTCCATATTTAATAAGCTGCGACTGAGCCTGTGGAAAAACCTGCAAAGATCAAGCATTTGTAAAGCTGAAAGTTTTCTCTTTTGTTCGACAGTTGTGAAAACATTTTTTTCTTTATGTTAGGAAGAAACTGGAAATGTCTTTGTATAACTGGATATGTAAATCTCTTGAAGAGACTCTTTGCTTTTATACAATGCAAGCATTTAGCAAATAATATATGCATTGTGTGCAGTAGTGTTCTTGTGGAGATCACTTACTTTTTCGTGTGATCTGTGCATTTGCTGTGGGGGTGGAAGAATGAAAGAGATGTGAGTTATAGGTCAAAATCATTTTTATAAAATTTGCTGTGTTCTAGTTAAAACATCTCAAAATCTGATTTGGATTTTTAGTGTTAAATTAGGTGAGATATAGGAGTGCCTTCTTACCAGAGGACCGTTTGCCCATCAGACCAATGAACTGATGAGGTCGGGGTTTCCTCGTCATACGTCTTAGCAACTCTCTGAAGGGATCCGCCTGCAGCCTCTCATCCTGTGAAAGATGATTTGATTATTGAATGTCAGACCCCCGGCAGACAGATGCCACTCACTCTAGAAGATCACTGGTATACTTGTATACACAAACAGTATTTTATAACTCATCCCAATACGGAATTCACCAAATTTTATCATTTTTCACCACAGTTTTTGAGCACAGAAATACTCTACAAGATACAGTAGTTGCAAAGATGCAGTTTATGAGCACGAAAAGTGCTTGGCTGTCTTCCAACCCGCAATGTCAAATGGGAAACGTGCGCTCCATTCAAACAAGCAGTAAGAGCATTGAGTAATTCAGCACTGGACAGCGACCTGTGGGTTTTGTGCTGGAGTCCGGACTAATTACCCAGTGAATCTAATTAAAGCATCATCCATGTTGCACATATTACATGATACTATAATTAGGGCTGTTACTGCAATATGACCCCCCATTAAAAAAAAGTATTAATTTATTTATCATTTATTTTTGTATTGGTCGATTACTAAATTATTACATTTTGTCCTCCTCAATACCAAATATGTGGCTATATATTACCAAATCCTTAATAACAATGAAAAATGATATGCACAGCCACTTAATAACTATATAGTGTTGATCATAAGTATTACACAGTAATTAATTAGTAATTACAATGTAATATGCACACGTCAATTGTTATTTTTTTCTATTATAAACTATGAAGCTGAGATATAATAAAAAATAGCATAATATAATTACCTTTATATATAATATAACTAGCTTTATCGCAATTATTAATGATTATTAGCTATTGCGTTTTTAAAAGTACCCACTTTTTTGTCTGAACAGGACTCTTTTGAGATTAAAAACATTCTTCTCTACATCGACGTCACTTGTTATAAAGCATTCTAGTTCTAGAAAAATGAAGTTATATTAACATCAACGTAAATATATATATATAATTTTTTTTTTACAATTATTAATATATACTAAATGTAGTCAATGTAATGAGACTACTTGATTA